TGTCGGCGGTAGAGTCGTAGGTACTGAAAGGTATAAATAAATGTGATTCACTGCTCATAGAAAAATTAAACAGTAGCTAATTTTTTTATAACATAACTCAAAGGTATAAATCAATGAAAATCGAAATTTTCAGTTGTTATTGATACATTTTAGCATTTATAACACAATAATAATTTAAGAACGTACACTCAGTTGTCACCGATGTAGTGGGCGATAGTGTTGTAGGTGCTGAAAAGTGTAAAAAATGGGATTTACTGCATAAGTAAATATTAGACTGGAGCTCATGTATTATAACACATTTAAAAGCAATATAATCATGTAATCAGAATTATTTAGATATTATTAATAACATTAAGCAAATAGCATATACTGTATTAACTACATACCCTCAGTTGTTACTGAAGTTGTCGGCGGTAGTGTTGTAGGTACTGAAAGGTATAGACACATGCGAATTACTGCTAATTTTTCGATTAAACAGTAGCTAATTTATTTTAACCTATTTTTCATGTATAAAACAATGACGTTCAATAACTTTTGATTGATATTGATAACTTTTAGCATAAATAACATATTAATAATTTAAAGAGCGTACCCTATCTTGTTAAAGTTATTGTTGCGGTGCTGTTGTTAGTTCTTTAGAATAATACAATTGTTATTTACTTTCATATGTGAATATTAAACTGTTGCTAAATTATAACATAGCATACTTGAAAGGTATACAACAATGAAATTAGTAATTTTTTTTTCAAATTTTGATAACTTTTATTATATATAACATAATAAAGAGTTAACAACGTACCCTCAGTTGTCACTGATGTATAGGGGAGTAGTGTTGTAGGTACTAAGAAATATAAAAATATTATTTACTGCATACGTAAATATTAAACAGTACTGAACTAATTTATCTTTACATATTTGAAAGATATATAGCAATGAAGTTCGAAACGGTTATATATTTTTGAATAACTTTTATCAAACATAATGTATTAATGAATTAATTGTTTATTTTCAGTTGTCACTAATGCTGTCGGCAGTAGTGTTGTAGATTATAATAATTGTTGTTGATCTAATTTATCTTTACAGATTTGAAAGATATATAGCAATGAAGTTCGAAACGCTTAGTTATTATTGAATAACTTTTATTAAATATAATTTATTAATGAATTAATTATGTAAACTCAGTTGTCACTGATGTTGTCGGCAGTAGTAATGTAGATTCTGGGTTGTAGAGAAAAAAAAAATATTTACTACGTATGTAATTAATAAACAGTAATTAATTTATTATAACATATTTCAAAGTATATAACAATGAAGTTCAAACAATTAATTATTTTTAATAAATTTAGCACAATATAAAAATATTTATGATTGAATAACGTACAATCAGTCGTCACTGACGTTGTCGGCGGTAGTGTGGTAGGTACTGAAATGTATAAACAAATGTAATTCACTGCTTATAGAATTAAACAGCAGCTAATTTCTTATGACATAACTCAAAGGCCTAAATCAATGAAAATCGAAATTATTAGTTGTTATTGATAAGTTTTATCATATATAGCATAATATTAAGTTAAGAACGTACCATCAGTTGTCACTGATGTAGTGGGCGCTAGTGTTGTAGGTGCTAAGAAGTTTAAATAATAGGATTTAATGCATATAAATTTATTAAACAGTAGCTCATGTATTATAACACATTTCATAGCAATATAATAATGTAATCAAAAACATTTAGTTATTCTTATTAAACTTAAGTATATACAGCATTAAGTACGTACCCTCAGTTGTCACTGACGTTGTCGGCTGTAGTGTTTTATGTATTGAAAAATATTTAAAAAATTTACTTAGTATGTATGTTATGGCCAATTAATCAATACGGACGACGTTTACTCAGACTGACAACTTCCTTTTATTCCAGTAACGCTTGTACATATTTCATGACGTGTAATCATGGAGTTATTAGTTTAACCATTTTCCGTACATGAACTATTCCGTTATTCAGTGGGTTAGTCAGTCAGGTAAAGACGGTTTCGGTCCTGCAATATTCAATCGGCCATATTTTCCTTAGTTCCAAACTAAAGTCCAACATAGAGGGCTCACTACTAATATTAACGAACACAACATCCCGGGGCCCAGTTGCTCCTGTAAAAAGCAACGACCTTACTATTATGTGTTCAACAACATATCATAACTGTCCATCTAATAGCGTCATAACCGTCATTTACCTTCAAACTTTCTTAAAACAAATTAACTAAATACCAACAAGAACACTAAAACGAATATTAAAACCAATTATAATGTATCTAAAGTCATTTCAGTCTCTATAATTAAGACACATTTAGGAGAATCACAAGTTTAAGTATCGATTAAAGTCCACTGATTCAAAAGAAACAAATGTTCTAAATCAATGATTTCAACCTGGGGTAAATCCAGCTACACATGCTTCATAGCTTCTATAAAATTATTTGAAATCAATAATGGTGTAACGTTTGATTTATTATGATATGTGTTAATCTGTTAGATTATAACTTTAGCAATGAATTTAAAGTTCAAATAAATGAGAATATTCCAACATTCTCCGTAAATAATATTAATGCTGTATATTTCAGGCAGCGCTTGGCTTGCACACTATCAACGGCATTATTAAGGCCTGTCAATTTCAGACAATAATTACAGAGAATTATATTTTAAAAGCAAACAAATCTTGGAGATTGGTCGTAAGTATACCAGACTTGATTTTCAATTTCACACTTCGGACTAGCCCATGGTTGTCCGCAAAGACTTCTATCACTAGACCCATAAGCCATGAGTTGCGAGGTGCTTGTTGATCAATAATGAGTACAACATCTCCGGCACGCACATTTCCCCTTGGTTTCATCCACTTCTGTCTCAATTGTAGGGTGGTTAGGTATTCTTTTGTCCACCGCTTCCAAAATATATCAGCTAAGTATTAAACCTGCTTCCATCTCTTTCGTGCGTAGATATCCTTTTCGTTAAATTCTCCAATTGCATTACCTGCAGGCTGCAGTAGTAGCAAAGAATTTGGAGTAATTACATCTAAATCATCTGGATCATCTGAATTTCTCGTTAGAGGCCTACTATTGATGATCGCCTCCACTTCACACATGAACGTGTTCAACTGTTCATCAGATCCAGTCGTTTTTATAAACTGCTCATTCAACAGACTGTTAAGGATTTGGCGTATTGTCCGTATCTGCCTCTCCCACACGCCTCCAAAATGGGAGGCAGACGGTGGGTTAAATTTCCATTCTATCCCTCGGTTGCATGCAAATTCTTGCATCTTATTTCTATCGATGCATTCAAATTCTGCCTTGGCACCTACAAAATTTGTGCCATTGTCTGAGGTAATGTATTTCACTTGGCCACGCCTTGCTATAAAACGGCGCAAAGCAATAATACAGAAACTGGTATCCATAGATGCAGCTACTTCAATATGTACAGCTCTGCGTGCCATACATGTGAAGATTACCCCGTATCTTTTTCTACAGGTGCTTCCATATTTCACTTCGAAGGGGCCGAAGTAGTCTATGACTGTATTTGCAAAAGGTGCGTCAGGTTGTACACGTTCCACAGGCAAATTAGCCATTAACTGCTCAATGAACTTTGCTTTTACACGCCTCCAAATAGTACATTGCTTCACAATGCTCCGGACTAGTGGTCCAACTTTCAATACCCAGTACTTCTGCTTTAGTACTGACAGAACGTGATTTAATCCTTGATGGCCAACCCTTTTGTGTATGTGTTGGATGATTAGGGTAGTCACATGATGATTTCTTGGAAGAATGATCTGGTGTTTCATATTTTCGGGAATGGGTGGATTTTCGATTCTGCCCCAACTCTTAGAATTCCCTCATTTAGTTTAGGGTTTAGTTTAGTTAGATTGCTGCCTTTACCCAATTCCTTTTGAGGGAAATTTGTGGTTTGTATATATTTGATTATAGCAATCTCAGCTACCTCCAGCTTCCTAGCCGTAAGTAGGTGACTTTCCTTCACCTTTCGGAGCATGCCTTTTAGAATGATATAGTATGCCACAGCCCTCTTCAATTTTGTCCAATCGGAGTAGTGTCGTATTAATCTATTCAAAAGACTGTCATATTGACATATTGCTTCGCTTACTCCAATTGCGTTGCACTGGCTTTCCTGGATGTCATTGTGCGATGTATCGCCATTTGGTGGTATATCTTCCATAACAGGCCATTCCTTCTGGCTCATAGCCAAGAAATCCGGCCCTGATATCCATTCCTTATGTCTCATCAGATCTTGTGCCTTAAGTCCCATGGATGCATGGTCGGCAGGATAAAGTTTTCCTGGCACATATCGCCATGCTTCCAATGTTGATCCATCACGAATAACTGCAACGCGGTTAGCCACAAACACAGGATATCTAGACTTCTCATTTGATATGTATTTTAGGACAGTTTGGCTATCTGTCCAGAATATTGATGGTTGCAACTTAATCGTCATCTCTCTGTGTAATAGATCATCCTGACGTACAGCAGATGCAGCTGCTGTCAATTCCAATTTTACTATTGTGTGTGGTTTCAATGGAGCTACTCTGGCTTTAGCTGTCACAAAACCGACATGGATATTTCCGGCTGTATTTTGTGAACGAAGATATGTAACTGTACCATATCCATGTAGACTGGCATTGGCAAAATGATGCAATTGGGCGTTGGTTACTTCTCCAAAATTACTGGGTTTTAAACACCGTGGGATCCGGATGTTTTCCAATCCAGACAAATCGGCTAGCCATGCTTTCCACTCCTTTTGGCTTTGAGCAGGTATGGGGTCATCCCATCCCATCTTTTCTCGGCATAATGACTGAAGGATAAATTTAGCCTGCAATGTGTATGGCGAACAAATGCCAAGTGGGTCATAGATACCACTTACTACAGACAGTATATTTCTTCTTGTTGCAATCTTACTTACTGTCTTTGCACTGAATTCTAGGCTATCGGACTCGGCACACCACTTTTCGCCCAGAACGTGTTCCTTAGGCAATTTGTCGTTTTGCAGGTAACTTCCTGTTACATCCTTGGCTCGATGTTGCTCTGAATAGTTTCCAACACTTTTCTACTATTGCTGGCCCACTTGGTTAAGTTAAATCCACTATTCTGTAGCAGTTTTCGCATTTTCGCCACTATGTCAATAGCCTCTTCTTCACTTGTTTCTGACTTTTAAAATTATCAACATAAAAGCTCTCTTCTACAGCTTGGGCAACTTTATTTTCTGCCCCTATTGCAGTCTTTCTCAACACATAATTGGCGCAGCTTGGTGACGAAATAGCTCCAAAGATGTGAACTCGCATTCGATATTCCTTAAGATCACTGTTCAAGTTACCATCTGGCCACCACAAGTACCTAAGTAGGTCACAGTCTGTTGGTCTCACTCGGACTTGAAAGAACATTTTTTCAATATCAGCCAATAAGGCCACTGGTTCCTGTCTCCATCGTAGCAGTACTCCGTATAATAGATTGGTTAGGTCAGGCCCTTGAAGAAGTTCTTGATTCAATGACATACCCATGTATGTAACAGGGCAATTAAATACAACTCGGAGTTTATCAGGCTTCCTTTGGTGGAAAACACCATGATGAGGAATGAACCATGTGCGTCCATCACTTCTATTAACCTGTTCTACTGGCACTTCCTCTGCGTACCCTTTGCTTACCAGATCTGCCATAAACTCACTGTAACCTTTTAAATGTTTAGGATTCTTGATTAACTTACTCCTCAATCTTCCTGCAAACATCTCTGCTTGCAATTTATTATTTGGAAACACAACCTCATGGCTTCTCAATGGCAGGGCTACCTGAAAGTGTCCATCAACCTTGCAGATTGTGATATCCATAATATATAGGAACCTTTTGTCTTCAACGGATGGAATCAGTTTACTCCCAGATAACCTCTCACTAAATTCCATATTAAAGTATTCCTTCAATTGTTGTTCCAATGGATCAACTTTACAAAAGTTAACCCTCACTTCCTGCCGATTAACTGATTTTCCTGGTAATCCATACAACAGCCATCATAAGGGAGACCTTATCGCATATGGTTGCCCTAGTCTTCCCTTGATCACTTCTAATGACATGGAAACAGCAGGAACGTTTACTCAAATTATCATTGATACCTCAGGCATGAGGCAAACTTCATTGACATTTGGTAATCTGATTTGCCTGAGATGTGGCCATTTGGATAGGTCATTCTGTCTGGGCACATCGTTGGTTGTTACTAGGATGCTATCTTGAACATAGACAGAAGGCAAATCAATGTAGTTGGCTTCTAAAATGCTGGCTACCTGTAACTGGTCTGCCACCATCTTGACACTGACCCTGTCTTCTAGGTTCAAAGTCTTAATGAGTAAACCTGTATATTTAGCCTGGGTCTTCAGTTTTCTGTTTAGTTTCTCTGATATGAACACTGCTTGGCAACCATTGTCGATGAATGCATATGTCGTGATTACTTCGTTACTCCTCTTTACCTGTACTCTGACAGGCACAATCGCCATAAGCGGGTTGTGCTTGTCTATACCAACACAGCCTGTGGATACTTTTTTCACAGACTTATTAATGTTTGGGTCATGCATTACTGTCAGGTGTTTTCCCTTGCATTGTACACATTCAATTTTTGTTCTCTTAGGGCAATTTTGCTTCCTGTGACCAGCACGCAAGCATCCATAGCAGAGACCATCTTTAAAACACACCTGAGATTTTTATTTTATCGACAGCTTTGAGAACTGAGGGCAATTGGCAATTCCATGGTCCAAAGCTTTGCAGTGCGAACAGGAATTGATTGTCGTTGCCATAACCCTTTTCGGCTGTGTTTTCTTATATGTGGTTAGTGATGGTCGTTGCTGATATCCTAGTCCAGTCACTCTTGGGTCATTAATATTTCTGGACTCTCTCCCTACAAACGTCTCAAAATCTTCCAGTTTTGGAACTTTCAGTTCCCTTTCTCTTATCTTTCCTAGATGCCTGATCCATCCTTGTTGGAGGCCTACTGGAAGCTTTGATGCCAGCATCTTTAAAATTTCATATCCATCCATTGCCATCAGCTCGGGGTTATTCTGCTTTGCATTGGCACAATTTGTCAAGAATATTGCAAACTTCCTTAGGCTCTCTTTATCTCCAGTTTTGGCCAATTTGTAGCCTTTTTATGATAGGCAGCAGCAATACTTGCAGGCTGTCCATAATCCCTTTCAAGTAGTTATTTAACTCTTTTATAACCAGCTGCAGGAGGTGTAATTAGTTGACAGTTTCTTGTGCATCACCACTAGTTGATTTGAGTAGTAATTCCAGCCTTCGTACTGGATCATCTGTCTTCGACTCTACCGGTAACATGAAATTGCGTGTAAATGTAGTGTATTCAAGTATATCTGCACCACTAAATGTTGGTACCCCTGGCTTTGGGAGACCTGCTTCATTTTGTTGCATTACAAGTCTCTATAAGATTTCTGTCATTTTACTGTCCTCAGCATTGTTGCTCATGGGTGGAGTACATGCTTTATCATTTTTTAAAGCATTTGGCCTTTGAGATGTGTCTACCGTCTCTTTTTGTAGAGCTTCAGGTCTACATGCTTCAGCTGATAAATTCACGGCATCCGCCTCTTGCCTTGCCAATACTCCTTGAATTACTTCATCTTCCTCATTCATGACTTGCTCATCACTATTCATTAAAATATACTCTGCTACCTTTGCGCTTGGCCGGCCTGGCTTGGTAATTCTGGAATGTCAATTACATCATTTTTCTCTAGCCGTCCAATTTCCTTTTCTAAAATATCTGACTTGATCTGAGCTGCTTTTACGGCTTCACTAATCTCTAACCTATCTATTTCCGTTTCAGCTTCCAGATTCATCCTAGCAGCCTAGGATTTCCGTTTCCTAAACTTTTCCCTGGCCTTGGCCACTGCTAAATCAGCCCTCGCTTGGGCAGCAGTTACCACGAGCGACGATATCGCCGATGACTGTTTACTTAATTTAGATCGGACTGACATGGCACTTATTTTAGATTAGATTCTGCTATACAGTTTTTCTGCACTATTCTAGTGCTGCTTATCCACAGACGTCCGTCCCGATCTCAATATAATCTATTTCTATCTTTAAATAAATTAAGTCGTATTACCGTAGGCCTAACCTAGGCCTCTGCTATGATGATCAGATGTGACAGCTAGCCCAGCGCTATTCTGCTATACAGTACTCAGTGTAATCTAGGCTTTCCACTTGACAATACACGGCAACCGTCTTTACTGTTATGGCCAATTAATCAATACGGACGACGTTTACTCAGACTGACAACTTCCTTTTATTCCAGTAACGCTTGTACATATTTCATCACGTGTAATCATGGAATTATTAGTTTAACCATATTCCGTACATGAACTATTCCGTTATTTGGTGGGTTAGTCAGTTAGATAAAGACGGTTTCGGCCTTGCTATATTCAATTGGCCATATTTTCCTTGTTTCCAAACTAAAGTCCAACATAGAGGGCTTACTAATAATATTAACGAACACAACAACACTTATTTATTTTAATGACTTTAAGCATAATATAAAAATATTCATGATTTAATAACGTACCCTCAGTTGTCACTGACGTTGTCGGCGGTAGAGTTGTAGGTACTGAAAGGTAAAAATAAATGTGGTTCACTGCTTATAGAAAACTAAACGGTAGCTAATTTCTAATAACATAACTTCAAGTTTTAAATCAGAGAAAACGAAATTTTCAGTTGTTATTGATAACTTTTAGTATTTATAACATAATAATTAGTTACGAACGTACCCTCAGTTGTCACTGATGTAGTGGGCGGTAGTGTTGTAGGTGTAAATAATATAATTTATGCACATGAAATGTTTAAACTGTAGCTCACATTTCTTAGCAATATAATAATGTAATCAAAAACATTTAGTTATTATGAATAACTTTAAGAATATACAACATTATGTACATACCCTCAGTTGTCACTGACATTGTCGGCTGTAGTGTTGCAGGTACTGAGAAATATTTAAACAAATTATTCACAAATGTAGAAAACATCATTGAACTATTGGAATTTGTTTTAACCACCACATATTTTTCTTTTAACAATGTTATCTTTAGACAGAAATTTGGTATGGCTATGGGCAGTCCTGTGTCACCATTGGTTGCTAACATGTACATGCTACAGACCGAGAAAAGAAAAGAGAAATGAACAACATACGAAAAGCCCTACAAGCCTGCAATTACCCGGATTGGTCAATGGAAAGAGTAAAAGAACTAAGGAAAAAGAAACAGCAAGGGAACCAAGAAAGAAGAGATGATCAATCAAATAAAACAAGAGGAAATATTAGCATCCCATATGTTAAAGGCCTATCCGAAAGGATTAAAAGAAGTATGAAAAAACATCACATGAATGCTTACTTCAAGCCCTTCAACAAAATTCGGGAGATGCTGGTCCATCCAAAAGATAAAATCAAGAAAGAAGAGACTAGTGGTGTAATATACCAAGTTAGTTGTAGTAATTGCAAGGCAGTATATGTAGGGGAGACAGGAAGACCATTCAAAACTAGGTTATCAGAACACAAAACAGATGTCATCACTAACACAGCAGGAGGTGTCCGTACCAGAGCAGCCCGTGCCTCAACATCTACGGTGATCCATAAGTCTGCTATTACGGATCACATGGTAGTAAACAATCATTTACCAGATTGGAACAACACAAAGATCTTGGGGAAGGAATCTTCCAGAGTACAACGCACCATCAAAGAGGCCATCTGGATCAGAAGGAATAACAACACCATGAACAGGGACGAAGGAGCATACGAGCTAT